TGCTAGCTAAGAGGTCAGAGGTTCAAACCCACCAGCTGCCCTGTGGGGAAAAGATGTGGCAATCTGCTTCTGTAAAGATTTACAACGTTGGAAGCTCTCCCAAGTTGAGGCAGTTTTACTCTGTTGCTATAAGTTGGAATCAACTCCACAGCAATGGGTTTTTCTTTTTCCTCTCACTGCTGTGGAGTCAGATCTGACTCATAGCAACCCCTCCTTGGGTTTCTGAGGCAATATAACTGTAGAAGTAGATTGCCCAATCTTCCTTCTGAGGAATGACTGGTGTCAGTCAAATGAAACTGATAGATCATTAGTCATTTTTCAACCTATATTACATGACTCTGGGGAAGTAAAGATAAATAGTACTCAATTACTCTCTTAGAAAAACTCTTTGTAGAGTGGGAAAACAGATATTTAAACAGTTCAATTTAAGTAACTGTCACCAAAGAAGGAGCAAAGTGGTATGGAAGTTTTTGAGATAAAGTGATTTTTAAAAAGTCATGCAACTCTGTTTAAGGGACACTGATCTTCTGTTAAGGATGATGGGAAAATGTGGAAGTGGATAACGGTGATGATTGAACTATATGATAAATGTAACTAATGTTACTGAATTATACATGTGAAAAATGTTGAAAAGGCAAACAATTTGTAGCATATATATTTACCATATTTTATAAAAATATACTTATTTGGAGATAGCTCAGAGGGCAGGAATGCATAGGAAAGAAGGATATAGTGAAAAGGTAACTACAGGGAGGAAGTGGAAAGAGAACTGTTACATTATAGGGATTGCAATTAATGTCATGAGCAAAATGTATATGAACTGTTGATTGGAAAATGAATTTGCTTTGTAAACATTCACCCAGATAATAATTAAAGATAGATAGATAGCTTTATATATTTATATATTTGTATATTTATTTATTTTTATACAAAAAGCCACACAAGAAATCACTATGTATTATTGTATGTGTCTTAAGAGGTATGGGTGAGTTCCCTTCACACCTTACTCCCAATTAAGGAGACATAGGTAATCTACATTCGTAGTGATACCACTTTGGAAACCCAAGGAGGGGTTGCTGTGAGTCGGATCCAACTCGACAGTAGTACGTTTGTTTTCTTGGTATTAGATAATTTAATATCTCAAGTTTGAAGGGGAAATTGTTATAAATTACAGGAGGTATTTATGTTAAATAAAAGGAAGATCCATCAAGAACTAAGTTCTTAAATATTGGAACAGACCATTAAAGCTCTTATTTAAAAAATGGGGGGAAAAAAAAAACCTTGCTGGTGATTTCTCAGCAGATTACCACACTTTGATAGTTTCCATGAATTCTTGGCTCAAAATATGTACTAATCCACTGACCTGGCAATAGGATTCAATACAGGATTGCATAAAGTTTCCCTGACTTTTTTCCTTAAAGGCATTGAATGATTTTTCTTCTTCTTTGAGTAGTACCTATTTAGGATGTTTGTAGTCTTAAAGTTGCATGTAAAGAACTTCCACCTACCTGTGCTGATGGTGAGGCCATGTGTCCCCTCCATGCTGATCTCCTATAGGCACCTCTAGGCAGAGTAACTTACATATGGAACAACACTGACTCAATGTGGTATGCCTCATTTTTGGAGTCCCTAGTGGCTCAGATGGTTAAGTCCTTGACTACTAGCTGGTTGGCATTCAAATTCACCCAGAGGCACATCAGATAAAAGTCTCCTGGTGATCTGCTTCTGAAAGGTCACAGAAGTGACAGGCCCTATGGAGCTGCACAAATAGAATCACCATGAGTTGGAAATGACTCAACAGTGACTAATAACATGCTACACTACTTTATTCAAGATCCCCATAGGATCCCTAAACAAGAAACCTGTCTCTCCAGCTGAAAAAGTATTGAATCTGGGTTTGTAGACCTCACATGGAGACAGCAGTGAAGGGCCTTGGAGTACACTATTGTTGTTAGGTGTCGTTGCGTTGGCTCTGACTCATAGTGACCCTATGTACAACAGAATGAAACAGTGTCCAGTCATGCATCATCCTCACAGTCCTTGCTATACCTGAGCCCATCATTGGAGCCGCTCTGTCAACCCATCTTGTTGAAGGGCTTCCCCTTTTTTAATGCCCCCTGCATTTTACCAAGCATTATATCCTTCTCCAAGGAATGGTCCTTTCTAACAACATGACCAAAATAGGCGGGACAAAGTCTGGCTATTCTCGTTTCCAAGGAACATGCTGGTTGGACTCCTTCCAGGACAGATTTGTTCATTCTTCTAGCAGTCCATAGTACTTTCAGTATTCTTTGCCAACACCATGACTCAAAAGCATCAACTCTTCTTCAATCTTCCTTATTCCTTAGCTTTTACAGGCATATGAAGTGATTGAAAATACCATGGCTTGGGTTAGATGCACCTTAGTCTTCAAAGTGAAATCTTTGGTCTTCAGCACTTTAAGGAGATCTTTTGCAGTGGATTTACCCAGGGCAATATGATGGCTGATTTCTTGAATGCTGCTTCCATAGGTTGGAGACCATGGAACCAGGTTATAAGATAGTCCATCAAGTGCCTGAAAAAGTAATCAACATTGCTAGGCAAAATCACATTAAGGAAAGAATGGCTCATGAAGGAAACTGACTGAAAGTTTCAACAGATCTACACAAAGAATTTGCCCACAAAAAGGGAGATTAGTCAGCAACTCTGGGTTGTGACCACTCAGCCATCCTCCAGGCAATGCGAAGTCTTAACAACTATAATTCAACAGATAAAAAAATAAATATTGTTGTTATTCCCTTGTGCCATCAAGTCAATTCCAACTCATGGCAACCCTATATGTTACAGAGTAGAATTGCTCCATGTTGTTTTCTTGACTGTAATCTTTACAGAAGTTGGTCACCAGGACTTTTCTTCCACAGTGCCAATGGGTGCCTTTAAACCACCAACCATTTGGTTCCTAGCTGAATACCAACTGTAAAAAAGTAAATACAAATGGCTAATTAATATTTGATTTAAAAGTGTTTAATCTCATTAGTAATAAAATAAATGAAATGAAAATAATTAGATTCTATTTTAAGCTTATTTTTAATTGATAATGCTCAATCCTAGGAAGAGTTCTATGAGATAGTCAATATTATATTCTTCAGATAGAAACATAATGTGTTTTATAGAAAGCACTTTGACCACAGAAGGGAGTGCCCTTAAGACATTCATATCTTCTAATCTAAGAAAGAACTTTGCAATATTTATATCTTCTATTACTGGGAACTTATCTAAATCAGTTAGGCTTAGATTTAGCTAACAGAAATCCCAAAATCACAATGAGAAACAAGATAGATGTTATCTGCAAGGGAAGTTACAAAATGTAATCTTTTAGATGGACATTGCCCTGCAAAATAAAATTGGGCCCAGTTATTAATGAAAGAAAGAATGAATGTTGAGTAGGTAACTAGCAATCTTTGCTCTCTTATATTAAGGAATACATTTGAACTTAAAAAATAATTTGCAAAAAGTCATTTATTTTGGGGGGAAAAGCCCAAATTTCTAAAAACAAAAGAATATTTACAAACTATACATCTATTCATTAATTTCATAGACAAAGAAATGATGTTATCACTGAAATTTTAAATAATATTTTAGCATGCTTACTTAATAATTTCAAAAATGTAAGATGTGTTATATAAAATGTATACTTTCAAGTATGCAAAAAGTATTCACAGAAAATTGTTATTTTATTTTCCACTTTCCTATAGGAAATATATGTGGAAATTATATTTTCTGCATTTTCTATAATTAGCATATTTAAGATGTATGCTAAGAAAATTGTAAACATTATTTTTTAACATTATGATTAAGGAAAATTTCCTAGATTTGAGAAACAGAATCTCAAACTGGAGATTCCTCATATTGTTATAAACAAAATTAAAGGCACCAACATGTAGCCTAGTAACTTTTTCAAATTTTAAAGAAAATAATCCTATAAACCTTGGTTTGAGAAAAACAGGTCACTTCAAATGAATCTGGTTGGCCACACATTTTTGTCCTTTGCAGAACTAAATGCCAGAATGTAGCCATATCATTATCATCAACATCACCATCATCACCATCACCACTACCATCATCACTAATATTTACTGAGCACTGATTTGAACTAAAACAAACGAACAACAAAAAAAAAAAACCTGACTTGTCATCAAGTCATTTCTGACTCATAGGAACCCCCATTGGATTAGTTCCAAGGCTATAACTCTTCACAGAAGTAGATTGCCTCATCTTCCTTCCATGGAACAGCTAATGGGTTTGAACCACTGACTTTCTGGTTAGTAGTCAAATGCCTTACTCACTATACCACCAGAGTTTCTTTAATTGAAGTAGTCTAAGCATTTTTATTTGCCTAGCCAACATCTTTTGAAACAGGTGTTATTGTTAATCCCATTGTACAGAAAAGGAACCTGAGGTACAGAGAAGTTAGTGACTTACTCATAATTTCATAATTTGCCAGTGATGGAGCCAAGGTTCAAACCCAAACAGTGTGACTCCCAAGGCCATGCTTTTCTGCTTACCATCTATATAACTTTGAAGAAAAAAATGTGATGCAAAAATTTTGTATGCAGAGATGTTATCATTAATACTTGCAAGAATTCAGACAATTTGCTTGATATTAATGCATTTCAATTACTTCTTAAAGTCTTGCTCCATATTACAAAGAAAGCATTAACAAGCTTAGAAGTAATATTACAAGAAATAACCTCTAATGGGGTATGATGGATGCTGAGAAGTCTAAATACTGGATTTAACTTGGTTGCAAACATTTCAAGGTGAAACAGTTTTTCTTGACTCATTTTTAGAAAGAAGTCAGACCTGTCCATAAGATCCCATGTTGACCATCATTGTCATGGGTGGTTTGGCTGGCTCATAGGTGGAACTAGATTGCAGTTCTTGGAGATATCCTCTCTGGTCAGGGCTATCTCTTCCTCGTTACACACTGCTTCTCAATTTCATTTACTTTTGTCTTTCAGCTGAAACTAAGATCTGCTTCAAATACTACCATGGAGTAAGTGGAGCCCTGCGAGCCACCACCCCCTGTGTCACGGTTAAAAACTCAGCAGCTCCCGTAAGTCTCTTCCTTCTCTTTGTAAGACTCATCTCTGGTGTTTCTTTACTTTCTCTTAGTTTTTATGTGTGCGTATATGTGTATGTGCACAGTATGCATTTAAATAAACACAGGCATTTGCATATACATATACAACACATGGAGATCTATTGATAAGTAAGTAGGTAGGTAGGTAGGTAGATGGATGGATGGATAGAAAGATAAACAGATAGATAGATAGGCAGAGAGACCAAACCAAAACCAAACTCACTGTTCTCGAGTTGGTCGTGACTCATAGTGACCCCTCCTTGGGTTTCTAAGGCTGTATCTTTATGGAAGTAGATTGCCCAGTCTTCCTTCCGAGGAATGGCTG